ATCCGATTTTTTGTTTTCAAATTCGATGACGAGGAACCCACTTTGAAATTAATAATGGTTGGAGACGGCTTGAATGTTTTTCACCATTGCAACTCAAAAAAAAGATTTTTCGTTTGTTTATGTTTGGTTCTTTGTTTAAAATGACTGTGTTTTTAATAGATATACTATGTTAAGATGGATTCCTTTTGAACAAAACAACCCTACTCTAAAATAACACACTGGGGTGACAGTTTCACAACAGTTCCGGTCATGTGACCTCTTTGTTCAATACTGTATATATATATCAGTGTGGATAATTACTTGTACCTGATGATGACAAAACCTTGTCGAAGCGTTGTACATTTGCTGTTATGTTAAACTTATATTAAAGTTTTTCTTCATTACCCATTCAAGCCGACTCCAAGTATTATTATATGAACAGTTTATAACAATAATAATATATTTGCCCAATTTCGGTAGTTTAGAGGTTTATGCATTTTACACATGATAATAGAAATCAATTTTATGGAAAAAAACCGAAAACGTTTTACAAGTGAAAAGCAGTCACGTGACACGAATTACATATAACTTACACCAGATTATAAAAGCAAGTTTACTTTTTATATTTGAGATCAAAAGATAGTTCTGTTTCAGGTAACCGTTGAAAGCATAGTACAATTCTCCATTCTCTAAACTGACAGTCAAACAACACAACAAAACGTTATTTTATCGTGTTTTTAAAACAATAAAATATACGCAGTTCACTCTTTACTTAATTACATAATACATTAGATGAAATGGATAACATAAGTTGAAAACACTTAAAAACACTTTTTCGTAAAAATTACCATTATTATTTATTTGTAAGATTCAAACAAGGTATAGATTTACTTTCTGGCTAAATAAATCAAACTAATTGATGTGCTATCTCGAAAACTTCCAGACCTATGTGTGTTTGGGTTCGTGTGTGTGTGTGATAGTTTGTTTGTGTGTTTATTAGCAATATTTCTCGAAAAAACTGAATGGATTCAGGCCTAACTTAGAAGTGATTAGTTTTTGGGGGGTCATGGTCACAGCAAGGACACAAATATTTATATTTTTCCTATCTTTAAACATGGCGACCGATTTTTGACACTATTTTTGTTCTATCACTGAGTAAAATATGATCGGATTTTGACGAAACGTGGTGGACTTATGTAAAACATGATTCCTAAAAATGGTCCATGTCCATTGATAACGACGGATATACGACATTTTTGTTTAGAACCGAATAGAACGCTGCATGGTGGAGGTATACGCTCTACTGAATGTTCCTCTAGTTGAATCATGTTTTTTGATGTCTAATAATGTTGTCGGTACGAGGGAGTAAGATAAAACTTAGATAGCACCAGTTTCTTCCTTCGATCAAAGAAAGGCAGTATTTGCTTGATAAATAGTATATGTAGTATGTTCCCTGAAATAAAACCACCTCATTACGCTTATAAATCGTTGTTTGTCATTTTACTATTATGTTAGCATAATGTGTTTTCATACACAAGTGGTACTTGATAGATATTCCAAATGAGCAATTTTTAAGTTATGTCTCGCACAAAACATTGCACTTGTAAGATAATACGGCAGGCTCATCGTATATATATTTGTACTGGAACTTTAATAGTTTATACATATTTCTGGAGAAAACGAGTCTGCATTTAACTTTAAATAATTATAATAAATGTCGATATATTACATTTTTAGGCCTCACGTTGTTGTCAAACACCAAGGTTAGGTACAACTGTCAGTGTTCTTACATACTACAATAATCAAACAATTATTTTTAAATTTCGGGTTTATGATAACTTTCCCATAGAATATAAGAACAGCCGTCGTGAGAAATATGAGGTGGTGGTACTGGGGAAAAAAGTCGCGGTGGTAACAGTCCCAAGAAGAATGCCATTCGTAACCATTTGTACATGATGAATATTTCAAATTACAAATGCTCAATTAATGAAGGACGTAGAGTTCGAGATTAAATTTTTAAACAACGCAATTAAGGCAGTATACTCTCCTTTCAGAATCAGCAAAGAATGTTTGTTTGTATTTAAGCACAAAGCTACACAATGGACTATCTGTGCTCTGCCCGCCACAGATATTGAAACCCAGTTTCTAGTGTTATAAATTTCCAGACATACCGCTATGCCTCTGGGGGGAGAGCAGTGAAAAAAAAACTAGAAAAAATTCACAGCACCAATTACATTCCTGATACAGAAGATATATGCACTTCACTTAAAGAAAGTACCTCGAAGAACCAGGCTGTTCCCCTTCTGTTTATAGGAAAAAAGCTATTTTGCAGCTATTTTGGCTACTGTATAACAGGCTTTTGAGCATACACATATTCGTGCAGCAACAAAACTGTGATTAAAAGAACTCAACCAGTTTGCTACATAAAGGCGAATCAAGTGCATCTATAAGTTGTTATGAAGCTGTAAAAATGATAAATTTGCTGAACCCAAGACGTCTACAATAACTGATATGAAAAAAACATCAACAGAATCAATGACTTCTTTGGAGGCCCATAATGTTGTGGATTCCTTGCATATGTTTCCAAACGATAAGGGGAAGTTGCTTCTATTTTCATACAAGTTATCCATATAAATGACTGTAAAGAAAATTAAATCCTGAGAGAACTACATCTTTGAAATTCATTGCTTCTAATGGAAATGAAGCTGCAAAGAAAGTTGCTTCTCAGGTGCGTACCACCATCACAGATCAAAATCTAGAAGTATCAGCAATCAACACAATCAGTGTAAAGACGTTATTGAGTGTGAAGCACTTCTTACAGAATTCAATGGCAGGTGATACTTGACTTGCCAAAACGACACAAGATCTTATAAGCTCATTATGTCAAAACGTGGTATATGATGTGACAGGTGCAAAGCAGGAGACTCCAAATATATATATTATTGATTCTAGCATTTTAGTCACTAATAGGAAGTGGTTAGATAATCGAATTGAGAAACAGACACCACTCTCTTCGTTTTGAGACTTGTAGCAGGTGATGAAACGAGTAGGATTATAGAGAAGAAGAACAAAATACTTGGGTGGTAAAACTTTTCATGGATTGTAGTCAGAATGGAAAATCAAATTGTATGCAGTTGGAACTGGGATGATATTTTAACAGGGGGTTGGTTCTCACGTTTCTTCTGCTAGTGTTGAATACTTGTCTTCAATAAATGTTCCTGCAATAGTAATTTTAAGTCCATGAAATATTGATGCTATCCATGAAAATAACCAAAACTTTGACGTTGTGCTGAATTGTGACAGTTTGTGATTAGGTCATTTCTGTTAAAGCTTCAGACATAGTTTGGTAACACAATCAAAGTTCTAACTTAAGATTCTCAGGCTTATGATTTTTTGCATTATATATATCCTTCTTTCCATAGTTGGAAATAAATTACAGGATGCAGGGCCACTTGAAGATTTAGGCATCACTGCTGAATGGTTAGTTGCAGGTGTGATGGATGGTCACAAATGTTAAAGGGCAGTCATATTCCATAAGCTCACACATGAAGCTCTTGTGAGACTGGTATGGAATGGTTTCATGACATGGACACGTTAGAGTGAACTTAGAAAAAAGGCAAGAAGTAGATGAAGTGAGTCAGAGCATTAAATGTAAAATGCTAGATCAAACTCACTACCTGAATTACATATAAGATCTAGTTTTCTTTACATTTTAAATACTATCACTGGAGCCTTTGAGAAGTACCAGAAAAAAATGAGAAAACACAATGAGCATCTCTATGCATTCTATATGTCTTATGTGGACCTTACGGAGTTGCTGCTTGACCTCCTTCATGCACCATAAATGGTAACTTGGTCATGGTCATTGTCATCAGTCAGAAAGATAATTTAATGCTTTGCTTATGACGTTATTTGCCTGTTTATTGTACACAGATTAAAAGCTTTACCTGAGGATGCGCAAAAACATTGACCAAGGCAAAGTTTCTATACATCGTGGCCAAGAAATCCCATCAGGTGGAACTACAGGTTTTAGCCTTCAGCATGCAGAAGAAAGTACACGTTATCTTACTCTGACACAATTGGCTGTCTTTATATGTTGCATCTAATATTCCCATTGTAACTTTCCTAATCAAGATTATTCAAAATGTTCCTCAACTTCTGTCAGTGTAAAATCAATGTCAAATTCACTCCTTTCACACAACAGACACGCGTGAAAAAAGTGGAAGGATAATCACATGTGCATAAAATCGATATTCTGTTTTATTTTACCCAGCGTCTATTTACTAATGTTAAGCTGTGTGTACTTTCACTTGGATTTTAAATACACGCATCTCCCGATAATTTTTAACAAAATAACTTGAAATTGTGCAGGCTAGCCAAAAAAAAAAAAAGAAAAAGAAAACTAATTTCAAAGAGTAGTGAGGGGGCTCCATACATGAAGTTTTTGTGTTTTTTTTTAGGAAGGGAGATCTTTAATAATTGAATGAATTGATTCACTTAAAAGTAAGTATTAATACATGAAGAGTCATTCAAAACAACAAGTTTAATTCAGATATGGAAATTTTCAAAATGGAGTCTCACATTAGGGAGGAGTCAACTAATTCTAGGAACAGTCAACAATCGTGGCTGAATCCCCAGATTGACGTGAAAAGGGGAACATTTCATGTCTAGATTTTCGACATTTTCTATATAGGAGCACCCCCTCCCCAAAAAAAATGTTAAGGGTTTTTTCAGGGTGTCTCAGGAGTGGCTGTACAGATTTACTTGAAGATAGATAAGAACATGTAGGACGTTAAAAGAAAAGGTGTCCATGTAGGGTTGTTATCTCTCATTAATTCGTGCAGATACTTAACAGCTGATATCTAAGCAACAGTTCGTATAATTCTAAATATTCTAAATAATTTAGGTAAGGTATCTTAATACACTTTAAAGTTGCAGCCGCTAGAAATGTTTTCATCTACGTATTAGTTAAGTGACTGCAACATTAATTATAAAATTAGTAGCTAGAAAGCAATTCATACCGTGCTCCAAGTGCCGAGATACCAGCGATAATTAAAGTAAAGTGGACAGTCCTCAGTGTTGCATTCTTGGGTATCCGGAGGGCGAGTATAGACCTCACATTTATGTTCAGAAACAATGTTTCCTCTTCCATTTCGACAAGCAACCAGTCGGTTTTGGAATCCTCCACCGCAAGGCTTATTACACTTAAAAACAGACAAACACATAGATTTCAATTAAAGAAGTGAAATGTTAATACAAAATATCTGTATTCGTATTTACGACAAAGCTATTAAGGCTATCTGTCGTAGTTCGTAAATTTTGAACTTCTTACCAGGACATGGTAGCTAGTCAGAAGCATCCTATTATCCACCATTCACTCTAAAGGACTAACTATTACTTTTATAACACATGTACAGCTTAAAGTGCAGAGGATATTATGTGCTATCGCACGGATTCAAGCTTAGCTTACCAGTTCCAAACTTCAAAACTCTACCACAGGGCCAACCTGCGCCCTACAAAATATAAAAGCGATTGCTTGTTTGTAATTAAGCACAAAGCTACACAATGAGTTACCTGTGCTATGCCCACCACGGGTATCGAAACCCGGATTCTAACGTTGTAAGTCCGCAGACATACCAGTATGCCACTGGGGGCTGTAAAACATATTCTTTATGATAACACAAAAAAAATATTGTGATAAATTTATTTATTCATTTTCAGTTTACCAGTAAGTCTATTACTTTGAAAAAACATGTTTATCATCCACAGAATATGTCAGAAATTCAAACACATCAGCACAGCTTATGTGAATGGGATAAATATATCTGAAATACCATTCTATACAAAATATCACATCGCGTCCAATTTAAGAGCCACGTGGAAGGTTTGTGTTCTGAAATAACACCATATTACATGTATGTTGTGACCAGTTACTCACCAGTTAAGTCGTTATTACACGTCATATGCCATGCAGAGATGGCACAGACATACATCACAGGCTCACATTATACGCACCACGATCAATACTTACATCTTAAAACACATATGTAACAAGTACAGATTAGATGTCACAATCATGAATCTTAACGACTGAAGGTAACGTTTCAGAACACCACAGTTAGGTTTGAAAATTTATACTTAATTAACAAAAATCCCCAATTTCTTAATAGTTAACAAAATAATAATCTCAAACACCTAAAAAAAACAATAATGCTTTATACAATTTCGATTAGTTCAACTTCAGGCAATAACCGAGAGACAAATGACAGTGGTTGATCGAACAAGATGCATAGTGAACTGAAAACAATTATATGAGACTACTGTTACAATATGTTTAACTTCATATATTTACAAAACGTATAGATAGATGTATGTATACACACATACAAATATATGTAGGTATGTAGGTTTGTATACATGTGTATATACACACACACACATAATATGTAAATCCCTTACAAAATTTAAATGAACTCAAAATCAAGAAAACGGAAAGCACTATGCTGTTCCAAAATTGTCTCAAATAGTCCTACTAATGTTGATGTATAGATAAATGTATGTATACATACATATATATTTAGGTTTATATATATATAATAAGATAAGTAACTTAAATACTATTATTTATATTAATTATTAATAGGGGATTAAAATCGACACTATAAAACAATAATGATTTTAATATAAAATAAGCATTAAGAAGGTCTTTGCAAAATCCATTTTAAATCCCAGTCGTCACCTTAAAGTCATAACGGATATTGTCTGTGGTAATAGCTCCCAAATGCTTTGGGAATATCCCATCTACCAGACAAAATCCAAACGCTTATGTTAAACTAGCCAGCAATCATGGAAAATCATTTAAGGATATGGAGTTGAGTGCTTACACCCACAACGTCTCAACTGCTATTGCCTTTCACTGTTTGCAACTAGTTGTGGGAAGGCATTTACCCTTAAAAGTTCTTCTATTTCATAAAGTAGGAATGAAATTAAATCACCCTAATATATTTCTGCTATATGTTATATGTTACTCCCAACCTCCTTCTAATAGTGATTTTGGTAGAATAATACAAGTATTATCTATAAACTGCACATGAACATCCGGTTTTGCGTATGCTTGCAAAATGGCTTAAAAAATCCAGCTCATACATAAAACTCCTTGCAAAGACTATTGCCGTTCGGTATCCCAGGGGCATATTTTTATTAGTTTGAATAACTTGTTTCAAAAAATAATGAGACTATTATTAGTAATAAACTGTAATAGACACTTTATGTACTTAAGGTCTTAACTTACAGAACATATAATCCAAATCTTGCTTAATAGCTTAACATTCATACTTTTTTCTAAAGAGTATAAGTACAACAAGAAAATATTAAGATTAGGGCCAAAGAGATCCTAAAGAATTGAAACATATTTTGGGAGTTCATTTTATTTATGACGCAGTTAGCTGCAAAATTCGTAAAATGATTAATCAAAACAACGTTAATTTATGAACAATCAATGGTAACAGATTGATAAACTTGTTAGTATAATCAGCATTAGAACACCGATCTTGACCTGGGGACAGTCATAACTGTAAAAACCTGTGTTGCTAGTCTTGATTTTAATTAATTCAAGCAAACACCACAGTGTAAAAACTACAGCGCACGATATGCTTACATCTTTACATCGGAAAAACATACTGACCTGCACGTAAGAAGTGTTCGTGTATATAATAAAAACCACTGTAATGGGGATTGTAATAAACATTGTGGCTCATATTTTGCGAGATTTCATACAAAAGAAATAAGTTTCAGAATTTTTGTTAAGAGCAGATATTCCTTGCAGAGAGAAGAATGTTCATTATAGAACAATATCAGAGAATATCTTTATTGACATTCACACTCCACTTCTCAATGTACACCAGAAACCATATTCAATAATGAACATTAAGAGGCCTTAAAATACAAAGACAATAGAACAAATTTCCTTATCTGGATTTTACTTGCAACTAACTTATCTATGAAAATTTTATGTATCTATATTCAGACGTCAATCTATATCTTTTATAAAGTAAAATATAATTATACTTAGATTTCTAAACAACATTTATATAGATATATATTGTAGAGGAAGGTGGATAAGATGGCCAATTTTACTTTGAGTGTGGTTTCAACCAATTAAGATGAACGTATGATAAAGCAAAGTATTTTAAAATGAATCCTGCTTCAGTTTAAAAGTCATTTCTAGATAAAACCAAAAGTGGACATCTTTTTTTTTTTTTAGATTTTGACAAAATGCGTTTCTTATGATTGTGGACCGTTTTTTCTATAAGATTGACTAAAACGTCTTCGAAGATCGCGTAAAATGGACCCATCTAAATAATAATAATTGTAATTTAAAATAAATGCTGCATTTAGGAACTGGACGTAAATCATGACTTAAATGCAAGTTGTGTATTAACTAGAATAATTGTGCAAAAGACGTGGGTACTAATGTGAGGCAATGATGTACAACTAAAGCTTATGGCGGAAATATACGTCATTTGTGTAGGGTAAGATGGACCCGTGGGAAGAGGCTTGTCTTATCCTAAGCCATTCATCATAAAGAGAACTTGAAGTGTGTTTCTTTTATGGCATATTCAGCTGTCTACACTTCATCTTGTCTGAAATCAACAAAATGAACTTCCAAGAAGTATCTAGTTTCGATAAAAAATGTGTTTATATTAGATTAAAATTGTTAAAAAGAACTGAAATCTCACTTTAATCATTAAAATTCATCGCTTCCCCGCCAGTGTTTATCCACAGTATCACATGAACAGTAGTAACTTACATTCTAGATGGTAGCATGTCATAAGTGATGATATACAGCGGTGGTTGTTTTACCAAAAAGGACCATTTTACCTCACTTTCACCACATATTGTTACTGTTTGGTATAACGTAACGTATTCTATTTACTAGTACTTTGTATGTCCAAGACTACTTCATTTTATTAATGCGAATTCCGCTCTCAACAGAGCACTTTATTTACTCAGAGAAATTTTAACATTGGCATGGTCACACATCATACAATACAAAAATCCTGTTTTCACTTCATGTCAGGAAGCAAATTACAATTAAATTTCACATGTAATGTCGAATCATGTGTAGAGATCATACGAGCAAAACATGCAAGTTTTTCATTAATTGTGACAACAGAAGTATCAGAAATCTAGTGAAATAATACTATTATTATGACTCAAATCTAGAAAATTACTTATCACAATTACAAATCAAATAACATAACATCTACATCATTGCATATTCTTAAATCAACGTTTTACTAAATACAGCTTTAGTTTTTTAGAAAGTTTACTTTAATAGCGTGTATATTATCACTAGATGATGTTTCATTATGCATACTGCCAAATCTCTACATGCCGTGGGTGCCAGAGCACTTTCCCTCCGGAGTGCACTCATATATAACATTAGAAAGGCGTGAAAAAGCCTCATATACGATTTTTAAATCCATTATTAGCAGTGAAAACATTTTACATGCCCGAGACCTCTTCATTATATCATTCCCATTTATTTCCTTTTCCCTACAAATGTGGTATCCCTTGTATAATTTTTTACCTATGCCACTGCTCTATATATGTATTGGTTTGTTTTTCTAGGTTCTGCGAGTTGAAATTCTTATATTTGATAGGCCTTACATTAAACACCTAACAAGTGACATACAATTGATTTAGCAATAGTAGAGTTTGGTGTGCCCTCTTTCTAAAATTAATGATGTATGTCCAACTACCAGACTTTTGACATCGAGTATCTATAAGTTTATCTGATACAACGTCTAAATTCATGAACCTTACATTGAGCTAAATCATTAAACAAAGGTTTTATTTTTTTATTAAAACGAGCATTTCAAATCAGTACAGATTTATTTTTCTTAGACGTAGATCCAACATGTCAATGTGACGAAGTTAAAAGTGTCAAGTGGCACACTTCATGATTCACATTACAAAAAATAATAATATGTAAAACATAATACGTTTTGGTACTAAGTATACACAGTACAAGAAGTGGGAATTACCTCTTTCCAATTACCAGCTGACCAATCAGGACAATGTTCTACGTTACACTGGATTACATCTATAGGTTTCTTTCCCAATTCACATTGGTCACTCATTTCCTCCAGTTCATCGTAACAAGCAACTTGGCGGCGCTGAATACCACCTCCACAAGTTTGTGTACACTTGTTACATAAAAATATTAATACCTTTTATATTGAAGTATTGTACCTTGTTTTAAGATAACAGACTTGATGTTTCAATGAAAACTACAATACCTTTATTATAAAGAAAAGATGATCATGTTAACATTCGCTGTTTGTTTATTTTTAAATGATGCATTTGAAATACAATGCCTTGTACTACTGTGTTCATGGTTAGTAAGAAATTACACGTAATACAATATAAAAAATGGCACATATAAAGATATTATATGCAACTGAATAGGTTAGAATTTCAGCTTATTAATAAAATCCTTCCAAAACTGAATTGCTTCCAGAATTTGATATAGAAATTATAACAAATCAAACCAGAAAGCAAAAGTATTATTTACAGACCCACATAGTAATAAATGGTGTTTTAAGAAAGTAGAAAACAACACCAGCAATAGCCTTATCGTCATTGCTAATTTTAAAATAGGGAAAACAACAACTTATATTTGAAGAATATCATTAGTAGGTCACTTTTTATTTAACTTTATGGTTAATATGACTTATCGGATGGTGTTGTTGTTGCTATTGTTTGGTGTTTTATGGCGCAAAGCAACGAGGCTATCTGCCCCAAACAACCAGTAAAAACAGTGAACGTAAATTAAACTAAAAGTGTAAATTAAAGTAAAGTGTAAAGTGTAAAAAGTGTCCAACGTCAGAGGTAAACTCTTAGAAAATATGTGTTTAAAATAATGCCGCCGCTCACGGTCGTAACGACGGCACGACAGTAAAATGTGAGCTATTGTGACTTGAGGGTCGCAATGGCTATACATCGGTAGGTCAATTCCTGTTAAAAGATGGGTTAAAAAACTGTGACCATTGCGTAGCCTTGCCAGGACTACTTCCTCCTTCCGATCCTTACGGAAGCAAGACGGCCAAAGACCAACAGAAGGCTTGATATGGAAAAGCTTGTTATGACATTGCTCACCCCAAGTCGACTGCCAACTGGCGCGAAGCCGTACCTTAATGACAGGACCGCAGTCCATGTATGGGACAGGCATGGCCGCGATGGCACCAGAGCAGACGGATTTAGCTGCGGTGTCAGCAAGCTCGTTCCCGTGAATATCGACGTGGCCAGGGATCCAGAAAAACTGGATGGAAACAGAAGATAGAGAAAAGTGGGCCAATCGGTGTTGAATATCGACGAGAACAGGGTGAGAACTAACGTTAAGCGATTCCAGGGCCAGAAGAGAGCTAAGAGAATCAGTGTAAATAGTATAATTACTGTACTGCATAGCTTCTACATGATCCAGGGCAAGAGAAATAGCATACAACTCGGCAGTGAACACAGAAACTGTAGAGGGGATCCTGCAAGCAACTACCGAGCCACAGCACACCATGGCAGAACCTACATCCATGTAACCATCGAACCATCCATGTAAATAGGAAAAGAAGAATGGTTTGAAAGATGATCAGCAAAAAGAAGATGGTACTTCCAATCGGAGTATCTGCCTTCCTCAGATGACTCAGAGAAAGGTCACAGGAAGGGATGGTAATAAGCCAAAGTGAAATGGGCTGATCATTGGGGACAGCAATGTCATCCAATGCCAGACCCAATTCAGCCAGTTGTGCCTGGATACGAAGGCCAAAGGAAGGAATAGCAGATCGTCTGTTCCGAAAGAGCATGGCACATCGTGGGAGAAAGACACAATCCCAGGTGGGATGCCATGGTAAGGATCAAAGCTTGGCAGCATATTGTAAAGAAAGTTGCAAACGACGAAGGTGAAGAGGAGGTTCGTGGGACTCAGTGTACAAACTCTGGACTGGAGAAGTGCGAAAGCCCTAGTACAGAGCCGAAGCCCCAACCAGATGGTGAATGGAGTCCAGCATCTTCAAGGCCGAGGTCATGGCAGAACCATAGACCAAAGACCCATAGTCCAGTTTGGATTGAATCAGTGCATGATAGATCCTGAGCATAGAACATCGATCTGCACCCCAAGAGGTGGAAGAGAGGACACATTGGATGTTCAAAGCCCTTGCACACTTGACACGTAGCTGCTTAATGTGCGGAATGAAGCTAAGCTTAAGGTCAAAGATAAGCCCCAAGAATTTTGCCTCAGGGATCACACGAATAACTACATTGCCGAGACGGAGCTCAGATTCGGGGTGGAGACCCCGTTGGCGGCAAAAGTGCATGCAAACGGTTTTGGAAAAAGAAAACTTAAAACCGTTTGCAGTGGTCCATGTCAACAACTGATTGAGGGCAGTCTGAAGCTGCCACTCAATAAACCTCATGTTCGATGACTGACACGGGATGTGGAAGTCATCAACATAAAGCCCATTTGCAACAGTCGGAAGAAGATTATTAGTGATAGCATTAATCTTAACATTAAAAAGTGTGACACTCAAGACACAGCCCCGAGGGATTCAAAGTTCCTGTGGAAATAAACGGGAAAGAGTTGAACCCACACGGACTTGGAATCGCCTGTTCAGTAAAAGGTTTTGAATAAAAATGGGTAGATGACCATGCAACCCATAGGAGTGGAGGTCCTGCAAAATTCCATACCTCCACGTGGTGTCATAAGCCTTCTCGAGATCGAAGAACACAGAAACCAGGTATTCTCTCTTGAGAAAGGCTTTCCTGATCGACGTTACAAGTCGAATCAGATGGTCCATGGTGGAGCACTATCGACGGAACCCACACTGGGTGAGAAGAGGATGTTCGATTCGAGGAACCAAACAAGACGAGCATTAACTATCCTCTCTAGGACCTTACAAAGACAACTAGTCAAAGCAATGGGACGATAATTTGAAGGAATCTTGGGATCCTTCCCAGGTTTAGAGAAAGGGAGGACAATAGCCTGGCGCCAAGAATCAGGAAAAATGTGCTCCTGCCAGATCTGGTTAAAAATAACCAGGAGAATAGCAAGAGAAGCAGGTGAGAGATGGCGCAACATCTCATACTGAACATCATCAGGTCCGACCAATGTACTACCAGACCAATGAAGAGCAAGTTTGAGTTCCACCAGTGTAAAGGGGCGTGTATAATCACAGAGACGATCAGCCTGAAAGGAAAGAGGCAATCGCTCTGCCTGAGACTTGATGGCCAAGAAGGTAGGGGAAGAAACAGAAGTGCTAAAAGCACGAGAAAAGCTGTGACTGAGAGCATCAGCAATGCTCTGGAC